AACCCAAAAGCCCAAACACCTCCTTATTCCAACTTTGTAAAGAAGACTTCAAACACTTCATCTTCACTTTAATTACATAAGATGTCATTCCCTTAATCTTGTTCGAATTCCAACAACCCTCAACACAAGAATTGAAATCCTCATGATCAATCCAAGCGTTGAAAATTTTGAAGGGTTTATGACCCCAATTCAAAACAAATCCCTTAATCCACACTAGACAATAGTTAGATAAATCACAATTACCGATAAGCTACCCACTCACATTCCATTTGGCCAATAAACCTTCTGATAATAAAATCCTATCTAACTTGCTCATTGATTTTCCATCCAAACTGTACCAAGTGAATAACTTTCCAATAACGGGAGAATCTACCAAGTATAAAGCTTCAATAAAACCATTAAATTCAACCATCTCAGCTTTGTTGATCGATGTTGCACTACCCTTCCTTTCCTCCTCCACTTTGACTGCGTTGAAGTAACCAGCTATACACCAATCACCCTCCGCAAATCTCAATTTACAACTAATCAAAGCTTCCCACAGTAACCTCTTCTTCTGAATAAAACAAGAATAGACATTAACCAAATAGACAATGTTACCTTGCCAATTAACATTTACGCTAAGAAAGCCTTCACAATAGAAACTAGAAAGCATTTCACAGCAACTCACCTTATACATTGACAGAAACCCACCTGATCTACCATCAGAAGCCTTTTACGACCACTACACATACGCGTTGTCCCACATCTCTTTCACCAAATTCTTCGAGACAACCTATAATTTTATTGAATGAAAATAACATCAAGTCTTTGTTTCTGAATGAACTGGCTTAGATGATTCCTCTTTACAAACCAGCCACACCCTCTCAAATTGTATGTAAGGACCTTCATCGAACACACTTGGTTACAACTTCCTTCTGAATACTTACAGCCTCATCTCTAGCTTCTATTTCCTTGATAGCCTTAATATACCTAACATCAACCTCTGATCCTCCCACACCAAAAGCGATACTTTGGACCATAACTTCGACGCAACTTCCTCTCGATTCTTATCCCAAAAACGTCTAATTAATCTGGAGTTGATAACACAATTGGTAAAAGAATTGTTCCTTTTATTTTTAGGATTGAGAGACGAGGAAAAAAGAATCTATATAATATCTTTGGTGAGAAAATCAATGGTTTTCTTTATTGGGGAATTTCTATATCTTTGATGTGGAAATCAATAGTTAACTATATGTAAGAGTAAAAGAAATTTCTCCCTTAACTAAAGTATTTAACGTTGTTTTGTCATATTTTTGCGTATAGAAATTATATATATATATATTATCATAGATAGGTGATTGCTAATAATTGTGTTTGAATAATTTTTTCCAAAATTTGTGTTAAATATAACAAGTTGAGTAGTATGGATAATAGTCCCACATTGACTAGAAATGTGAAGACTTATCCAAGATTTTCTCGAATCAATAAAAAGATAATAATAAGGTGAGCATTTATAAGTGGGAGAACTCATACACCTATTACCTTAATGTTTTTGGTGAATATGTGGTGTGCCTCTCACCAAGGTGTTGCTCAAGAAAATGTTCAATGCTCCCTGATTAAAAATCACCCCAACAGTGGTATTAGAGCCTTTCGGTGAAGGGCCGATTGACTCACATTTGAGGGGGAGTGTTTGCACAGTTGAAGGGGGGAGTGTTTGCCCAGTTGAAAGCCTGCCCTATTTAAACCTGTCCAAAAGCGGGGCAGGGTGGGCCAACTAAGGCGTCCAAGCTCAAAAGTCAAGGCCACCCCGTTTACTAACGGGTTGGCGGGACGGCCCGTCAATTTCTTTTACAACTTGACTTACTACATAATTTACAAAATCGTTAAACATTACAAAAAAGACCGACAAATTTTAACAATGCATAGTAAAACTTTAACAAGTCTTAATGCAAACGTCATATTCTAAAACATAAACAAATAACGTAACTATAATACCAAAAACTTAAAACAAACACACTAAAACCCCAAAATTCAAAACTTTATTATCATAATGAGAAATAAACCCCTCTATGTAAAATTTACCTTATAGCTTTAGAACCCGACTCTAATGACAACGAGTAATAGAAAACAGAAAAGAATGTATTCTCTATGTTTTGCAATAATGATTTTTTCTACTATGAGTAAAAATAAATAACGAAGCAGACACCAATTAATGTCTTCAAAATGAGGTGTTTGTGGTTATGTGAGAAATTAATATTAAGGTTTGAAGAAATGAGGGTTGTTTTAAAAATATATCTACTACATACCATGTTAATATTGTTTTAAGTTCAAATAAAAAAATAAAATTTTTTAAACAAAAAATCTGTGGGCAAAACCCTCTCCGCCCCGCCCTCGGCCCGTTTTAAAAGTGGGTTAGGTGGAGTGAAACAACTTAAAATACCGAGCCGAAAACCTTGTCACGTCCCGCTAAAAATGGTGAGTTAAACTGACGGGTCCAACGAATTCAACCCATTTTGTCACTCCTAGCCATAATGCATGTTAGTAGCCAAACAATGTACATTAAAAAAAATTCAAGAGCTCCCAAGAACACGGGCTTATTATTATAAATTTTATTTATAACAATGTCTACCATTTAGTGCTGCGTTTATAAAAAATCATATTGATAATATTATTTAGAAATAGTATGTGTGTAATTTAAAATTATTTATATGATTATAAATTTTATTTTATCTTTAGTTAATAATTATACTATATCAATATTTGTTTTATAATATATTAATTATTATATACTTTATCAGTCTCATTATGATGATTTATTTTTCATTTTAAAATTCATTCTAAAATGAATGACATTTTCCAACTTATAATACAATATTCATTATTTTTTTTTTAACTATAATTATTATTTGTATTGCTCTAAATTTAATATATTCTATTTTACATTCACAGCAATTTTGAATTCAACCATATTTGATGAATAATACTTTAATAAAAAGAAGTTATTTTTTCACTTTTATTTATATATTTTTTGACCGCGGTAAAATAGTTAAATAAATCACTTAATATTAGGATATAATTATCTTTACGGATTGCATGGGTTTAAATTAATTATATATATATATATATATATATATATATATATATATATATATATATATATATATATATATATATATATATATATATATATATTATTTTTATATTATTTTACAAGTGTGTAGTTTAATTTATATAAAATTAAAAATGACAGTATAATTGTAATATAGCATCAATCACTTGCCTGCATCTTTAAAATAAGAGAATTTCTTAATCTACTTCTTGAAACTCTTAGACATCCAACGCATTTTTTTTTATGCCCACTACTTTCGGAAATATATATTCGGACGCACCTTTTTTTTTTATTGTTAAAATTTGGTTTTTTCGGAGCTACATCTACATAATAATTTTAAATTGGTAAACGCTGGAAAAACTTCAAAATAATTCAGTTTAGGGAAACTTTCATATATGCACCTCCAGAACGTCTAAGCGCCGGATTGTTTCGTATATACAACTCCGGAAGTTTCTGCTATATTTGAAACTGCATGATCACTCTTCCCATTATTGTGTTTTCTTCTTCCACACTCACCTTCACCAACCTAAAAAATCATACATTCTCAATATCATTTTTCACTCCAAAACTCCAACTTTTTCGTGCAACAAATCAAAGGGAGTAAGAGAAGATCAAATTTCAGGTAAAAATTGCATTTTGTTCACTACATTTCTCACATTAATCATCAAACTTTTGGAAAAAAAGTAATGTTAATTCTGGAGCTGTACCTCCAGAACGTGTTGAAGATGAACATTTCCTGATGTACATCTTTGAAACGTGTCTGTGACCTATTTTTTTACAGCAGATTTGTAATTTTTGTTTATTTTTCTTATTGTTTACAAATAGGTATGGTGCACCCCGATAATATCTCAAAAGAATTAGTTTCTACAAACGATGTTTCTCCAAATGTTCAAGGGGTTGTCGTAAAGTTGGTAGATGTTGACGTTGACTTTAACAACAAGCAAGAGTGTGATGATCGTGATAGTATGCTCACATGGATTGATAGGATTGCAACTATACTTGATTTTGGTGTGGTTATAGGAAGATCAGATAATGGTTTGGAAAGAAGAACCGCTTTTGTAACTTTGTTGTGCGAAAGAAGCGGGAACTATTATACTCCTGTACGGAAGTTTAAAAGAGACGACACCGGTAGTAGAAAATGTGAATGTCCTTTTAAGATTCGTGGTTACATGTTGAGTATCAAAAAATGGAAATTTTGTGTTATATGTGGTTTGCATAACCATGAATTGTGCTTAAAGTTACAAGTCATCCTAGTGTATGTCGGTTCAAGCCGGAAGAGAAGACATGTATTAGTGACATGACCTTGAATCTTGTCCAACCGAAAAATATACTTGCCACATTGAAACAGAAGGAACCCGATAATATATCAAATATAAGGCAAGTGTATAACATTCGGTATCGCACCAACAAGGCGATTATGGGAGATATAAGTGAGATGTAACAACTGTTGAAATTGTTGGATGATAACAATTACATGTCCCGGTACAGAACTTGCGACGATGGAGTTATGGTCCGAATGGGAAGCGATACAAGAGAGATTCTCAAAGGCCGATGACAACATAAAACTCAACATCAAAGAACAATTGAGGAAAATTTCCTATCCCAAAATAACCGACATAAAACCGCCTTCTCAACCAGTAAAGACAAAAGGTGTTCGAAAATAATCTTATGAAAACTTAAAGAGCATTTTCCCCTTCACTTCCCATAAGGTATAATTTGATGCAATTAATAAAATAAAATTGAATAGTGACTACTTAATTATAAACTACTCCTACTTTCCTACTTGTGATTGGGGCAATATAAATTAAAAATATTCTGTATATTATCGCATACGGAAAATTCTCAATAGTCTTTTGGTCAAATACACACTGATTCTTATTTTTATTCTTACTTGTTTTTCTTCTCTATTGTCATGGATTTCTTGACATCACCAAAACCCTCTTCTTCATTCTCCTATGGATTCACCTACGATGTCTTCCTTAGTTTCAGAGGCCTTGACACTCGTTACACTTTCACCGGAAATCTCTACAAAGCTCTCTGTGACAGTGGAATCCACACCTTCATCGATGATAGAGAGCTTGAGGGAGGTGATGAAATCAAGCCATCACTTTCTAACGCCATTGAAGACTCTAGAATTGCCATTCTTGTATTCTCTCCCAACTATGCTTCTTCTTCCTTTTGTTTAGACGAACTTGTCCACATCATTCAACACTTTACACTAAACAATCGTTTGGTTTTGCCGGTTTTCTACGGCGTCGATCCTTCTGTCTTGCGACATCAAATTGGAAGTTACGGTGAAGCAATAGCTAAGCACCGAGACAGGTTCCAAAACAACACGGAGAATTTGGAGAGGTTGCAGAAATGGAAGGTGGCTCTTAACCAAGCATCTAATTGCTCTGGCTACAATTTTCATGTTGGGTAACCCAATTCACTCATTTTTTTCTTTCTTATATTGTTTTTAATTTTATATGTCCAATATATTCCTCGTATAAAGCTTGAATTGCAATATATGTTTGTTAATCTTGAACATCTATGAGTTGTTTGTGGTTAGAAACATCTATCACTTGCTGAAAAAATTATTTGTTTGGTCAGGAATGAATATGAATACAATTTAATTGGGGAGATAGTAAAAATAGTTACCAACAAGATTAATCGTGTTCCTTTGCATGTTGCAAATTATCCGGTTGGACTCCAGTGTCGATTACAAAAAGTAAATTCACTTTTTGATAATAGATTTGATGATAAAGTTCAAATGTTAGGGATATATGGAATTGGAGGATTGGGGAAAACAACACTTGCCCGAGCAATTTACAATTTCATCGCCGATCAATTTGAAGTGTTATGTTTTCTTCATAACGTGAGAGAAAATTCAGCTAAACATAACTTGGAACATCTTCAAGAGATGATCCTTTCCAAAATAAAGGGACCGAAAATTCGGCTAGGAGATGTCAGCGAGGGGATTCCAATTTTGAAGCAAAGGCTACACCGAAAGAAGGTTTTGTTGGTTCTTGATGATGTTGATGAACTGAAGCAGTTGCAGGTTTTAGCTGGAGGACTTGATTGGTTTGGTCTTGGGAGCGTAGTAATTATTACCACTCGAGACAAACATTTGCTGGCAAATCATGGGATTGAAAGAACATATGAAGTAGATAAGTTAAACCAAGTAGAAGCTCTGGAATTGTTGAGGTGGATCTCATTTAAAAATAACACAATTGATTCTAGTTTTGAAGGCATTCTAAAACGCGCAGTAACTTATGCTTCTGGACTTCCATTGGCTTTAGAAGTAGTTGGTTCCAATTTGTTTGGAAAGAATATAGGACAATGGAAATCTACATTGGATTGGTACGAAAGGAGTCCTGACAAAAAAATCCAAGAGATACTTAAAGTAAGTTTTGATGCTTTGGAGGAATATGAGCAAAGTGTTTTCCTTGACATCGCTTGTTGCTTCAGAGGGTATGAGTTGTTAGAGGTTGAAGACATACTTAATGCTCATTACGGTGACTGCATGAAGCATAAAATTGAAGTGTTGGTTGACAGATCTCTTATAAAGATTAGTCAGGAAGGTAAACATGATATTGTGACATTACATGACTTGATCGAGGACATGGGTAAAGAAATTGTTCGTCAAGAATCACCCAAAGAGCTTGGTAAACGCAGTAGGTTGTGGTTCCATAAAGATATAGTTCATGTTTTAGAAGAAAATTTGGTAAGATTTATATGCTTTGTTTGATTTTTCAATCTTAAGCCTTGATTTCTTATTTTGTACGATTATATCTCATGTCATATAGACTTATGTATTACTGTTATTAATATGTAACTTTAAGTAGGTCTATATGTCAAAGTCTTACTTATACCGTGATTACTTATTTGTTAAAAGGGAACAGATAAAATTGAAATTATATATCTGGATTGCCCTTCTGTTGAAGTAGTGGTTGATTGGAAGGGAAAGAGCTTCAAGAAAATGAAAAATCTCAAAACACTTATTATTAAACAAGGTCATTTTTCTAAATGTCCCACAAGTTTTCCAAATAGCTTGAGAGTATTGGAATGGCAGAGATATCCTTCACGGTATATACCATCTAACTTTTGTCCTAAGAAACTAGCCATATGTAAGTTACCCAATAATTGCTTTACCTCATTGGAATTGGCTAGCTTTTTGAACCAGGCAAGTGAAACAACTACTTTTTTTTCTATTCTATATATGTTTATAAATTCATTTTAAGATTATTCATTTTAATTTTATTTATGCAGAAGTTAACAAATCTCAAAGTTTTGGACTTCAAAGATTCTGAATATTTGACGCATATACCTGATGTATCGGGTTTATCAAACTTAGAAGAATTTTCGATGAATAATTGTAAGAATTTACGTACAATTCACAATTCTGTTGGGCACTTGAATAAACTCAAGGACTTGAATGCTAAGGGTTGCAGCAAGCTCCAGAATTTTCCACCCTTGAAGTTGACCTCTCTTAAAAAATTGCAACTTTCAGGTTGTGAGAGTCTTAAGAGTTTCCCAGAAATATTAGGAGAGATGCAATATATTACAGTCATTGAATTGCTTGAAACTTCCATAGAAGAATTTCCACTTTCATTTCAAAATCTCACTGGCCTTTGCCTTTTAAAAGTAGTTGGAAAGGGAATGCATAGGTTATCGAGTAACAGTCTTATGATGACAAATTTGTGGAGTGTTCATATTGAAAATTGTCATCTATTATTTCCAAAAGAAAATGATAAATTCAGTTCTGAGATGTTTCCACAAGTGGGATCTCTAGAGCTCTTTAACTCCAACCTGTCAGATGTATCTCTTCCAAAATTTCTTACTTTATTTGCTAATGTGACAATATTAGACCTATCGGCGAATCATTTCACAATTCTTCCTGAATGCCTCAAAGAATGTGACTTTTTACATAAGCTTTGTTTAGATGATTGCAAGAATCTTCAGGAAATCAGAGGAATCCCGCTGAGTTTAAAATATTTCTCTGCAAAATCTTGCGTTTCTTTGACATCATCGTCTAGAAGCATGCTACTGAATCAGGTTTTTTTTCCGCATTAGCATTTGATTTATTATTAAATAATTTATCCCGGGATCTATCATGTTTAACGAAACTAGGGAATGTTATATGACTTACAGGAATTGCATGAGGCTAGAGGCACCCACTTCTATTTTTCTGCAGGAACTGAGGGGATTCCTGAGTGGTTTGAGCACCAGAGTAATGGACCGTCAATTTCTTTTTGGTCTCGTAACTACCTCCCTTCAATTGCTCTCTTACTTGTTACTAAGTTGAAGCATGGAGTTGACACATCCGACTGCTTAGTAAATATCAATCTGTTCATCAATGGCTATGGATATTATGTTGATTCTCGCGAAGTTTGTGAATGGCAAAAGATTAAACCGGGTCATGCATATCTATTTGATCTTCACCTGCATAGCCGGGTACTCAACTTTAACATTGAACATAGAAATGAGAAACTCTGGAACGTGAAATTCAAACTAGAGGAAGCGCTTTCAAAAAATGAGTGGATCCATGTAGAGGTTACATACACCCATCAGATGAAGGATGCATTACTTATAGAAAGTGGAATCCACATATTCAAAGAGAAAAATAGCATGGAGAATATTCGATTTAGCAATCCCTTTAAAAAGAGTAGATTTGTGGATGCAATTTAGACACAAATTTGTATTCATGTATTGGCAGGTTCTCAGTGTTCACTTATACACATACTTAGTTATTGAATGCATTTGAACTCGACATAAGTTTGTTTATATAGAAGTTTGTGAATAAGTTCTAAATTTCATGGGTTGTGAATTTTTAACTGGTATACCCTATATATTGTGATAGGAGAACAACATGCATATACCATAGGAAACAGTGTTAATGTTTTATTCTTTTATTTTCCTCTCCTCCCCCTCCATCGAGGAGAAATTCTTACACTAGTGGTATCTACATTGGCCAATTGTACAACTTTACTTCAATAATGTCTTTTTCAATGAATTTCTAAATTAGTAACATATCTATGCTGTAATGTCTTTTTCAATGAATTTCTAAATTAGTAACATATCTGTGTCCGCATGGACAAATAATAAATAAAACTTTGTCTGATAATTTTATATGAAATGTAAAATGATGAATACAAAAGATTAAAATAAATAATTATAAAATTATTGATATATTAATAAACTTTAGAGAATATATGATAGAAAGAATAATAAATTAACAAAAAAATTCAAAAGACAAGAATTAGAACAATAGATGAGCCTTGACAAGAAAAAAAAATAATCTAAAAATATTTAATTAAATAAGAAAAATTGTTAAAAAAAAAAACATATTAAAATTACTTTGATATTAGTATACTTTTATCTAACTTTTATATATATATATATATATATATATATATATATATATATATATATATATATATATATATATATATATATATATATATATATATATATATATATATATATATATATATATATATATATATATATATATATATATATATATATATATATATATATATATATATATATATATATATATATATATATATATATATATATATATATATATATATATATATATATATATATATATATATATATATATATATATATAAAAGTAATTGATCTTATCTGATCAGAAAGAGGATCAACAGCCAATAACACGTCGTGAGCTCTAAATTCGCCGGTGGCGGAGAAGAAGAGGGGGGTATACTTGCAAGACACTTCGATGTCAAAGTAAGGAATGAAGCAAAGAGAGAGTAAGTACAGTAAAGCGGATATGAGTTAGAATATCTGACCCTCTTGTAGAGGAGGGTATTTATAACGTGCCCCCAACACTGGGTCAACGGTCATCTACTTTAGGCTGAATTATAAGGCCCATTACAGATGACTGCTAGGATCTTACGTGGCAGTAGGGAAGACCCGCGTGTCGCCTTAGTCTTGGATCAACTGTCCCACGAACTCCGGGAAATGGAAGATTAACTCTTTTGAACGTGGGTAGTTGGTTGATGACATGTTCCCGCGTGGGGACCACGTGGAGAGCGTGTGCGGTGCGTGGCCTCCAACGACTATGCAAGCTTGAGCCTGTGTTGGACCATTCCCGACGTGATTTTGGGTTGGGTCGTGCCTGACGGTGGGCCAGCTATAGGCCCAGTCCAGAACAGGAGCCCCCCAAGTAGTTATTCCTCTGTCGAGGAGCAATGACTTAGAGCCAGTCCGTATGTCAGGGATGAAAGAGACTCTGGCGGAAAGTGATTGTACCTACTCGCGGTTGCGAGCTTATGTTTGATGCCAACGATGCAGTTATGGGCATTTTTCTGTCAGGCAGACACGACAGTCAAAAGTTGGCTTGTGCTCGCGAGTTTGTCTCGATTTTTCTTTGAGGACATGCTCACGGGAGATTCGCCCGAATTTGATGTTTGTACCTGACGATGCGTCTTGTTTCAAAGTTTATTGAGGTAGTTCCCGCGAACGGAACGCGGGGGGTCTGTTACGGTGAGAATCGTGATACCAAGCTATTGATTAACTTGAATCTTAATTCTTAAATTCACAACTGGACTTTAATTTATCCAAAAAGGAAAGGTTTAAAGAAAGAAAAACCTATTAAAATGCAAAGCAAAAAGCAAGGCTTAAAGCTAAGCAAAGAAAGATCAAAAGGTTCGGGGGTTGGTTATGCCTAGGGTAGGTATTTCACATCCTAAACATCTATAGTACTCTACAGGAACCTCTTGTTAATATTTGTGTTTTTCTAAAGTTTGCTTGCTAAAGGAAATGTGCTAAGGGTTTAAAGGTATAAAGTATAAAGTATGTACAAAGTTTGCTCGACAAGAAATCGCATCTCGTGCCTATGTATCCTGACGGGGATGGAATCAGAGCAACCGTAGTTCCCCTATCTAGGGGTGAGGAACTCTTGACTGTGGTCAAGGTTCCAGGGAGATGTAAGCATTCATAGGGAAGTACTTACATGGAGTGCGGCGAGTCCTGAATCTACGTTGAGATTGTTATGGTAGAGAATGTCCACGGCGGGACGCTAAACATGAGTACGACGACTCAGATTCTAAGGTTAGGATAAAGAGTAAAGGATGTCCACGGCGGGACACTAAATAGAGCACGACGACTCCAATCCTAAGGTTAGGATAAAAGGTAAAGGTATAGGATATCATGTGTAACCAACAATGTCACAACAATGTAAATGAAAAGGTTCAAAAATCTCATGGGGATAGTCAACAGTTTTTTAAATGTGAACCACTTAAATGCGTACAAGCAAAGGTGAATTTCAATACTTAAATGTACAAGGAAACCAACAATCCAAGTTCAAATCATCCTCAAATAAAACTCAAAGAAGAATAAAGTCCAAAGTTTTGAAAATGACGGAATGCGAGGTAGGAAGGTGAAAACCCTAAAATGATTTATAATTTTCCCATAATGAAAAGTGTTTCTAAAATAAGAATTTTATAATTCTTTAATCATCATATGAAAATACACATTAAAACAAGAATTTGGAAAAAAGAACTACTTAAAAAAGAGTAAAAATGAAGAAGTTATGTAAAATTAAAAGTTAAATGAAATTAAAGTAAAATAAAATAAACCAAGTGCTAAAAGATAAGGAAATGCCTCACCCAAGGCTTGAACCCAAGACCTTGGGGTCATAGGCTCAAAACATGACCAACTCAACCACTCTCGAGCGTCTAAATTCAAAATGGAAAAATAGTAAAACATGGAAAATCATAAAATAAACACAAAAAGCGCCCTCGCTGAGGGTCGAACACACGTTCATTGGCATGGCAAAGTTCTTAAAGGTAAGGCAATAACCACTGGGGTGGCGATACATCCAATGTATCAAGCCACCCCAGCTCAACATATACTAAAATGTGCGCGCAGGCTGGGCAATGTACAAGGCAACTCAAGGCAAGAACACGAAAACGGTTTCACTCTAACTCTCTTAATTCTTCACCAATTTTGATGAAACTTGAGTCTAAACCACTTGATTTTTCATGAGGATCATGATGGTGCAATCCATTTTTTAAAATATTTTACGCAAAGAAAAACACGAATGCTCATGCAAGGAGAGACATTGAAATGCATTTTGAAGAACATGGATCAAACCAGATGTAATTATACACAAGTAGGGGCCTGCTCAAGTTTCAAACGTGATATGGAATGAGTTCTAACAGAAGATTCAATCAAAAGACATCAAAGCAAGAATATCGTATGTGAGTTGCAAGTTAATGAAATTGATATTTTAAGAAGAACTTTGCAAATCAACAATGTTAATAGCTTCATGACAGCAGACACTTACCAATCCAAAACTGCAACATGTTAAGAACTCAACACAAATAAAATGCAACAACCAGATTGAGCTTGATGGTATCAAACCTCAAGGCAAGAAACTGTCAGCACAAATGTACCAAAGTCTACACTAACAGTTTTGACAGCCACATGAATCTAAACAAATTGTAGCAAGTCATGAATCTAAAACACATATGAATGGTCACTAACCATACTAAAGACCTACTGACTACAAACTCTAAAGTATCAAATGATTGGTTTGCAAGGATTTCTAAAACAACAAATACCATCAAACCTAAAAGCTAAAGTTGTCATGCTAAGACCAAAACTTAAGCAGAAAAGGGAAGGTATGTACACTGCTTTCTTATGCTCCCAATAGTTGCCAATTGCCAAATGTTAAATCTATCTACCACCAAAGATTTCATCCTAAAAGACTAAACAGGTCCAAACATGATCTTCCTCTACAACAGCAAGACATGGAATTAAACATGGAATTAAACATAAATCTGATGGGAAACAATGTTGGTCAATCCTCTAGCAAACTTGGACAGTTCTGAACATCAAGGCACTATGCTAAAGAAGTTGGAAACTCTAATCTGTTATGTACTTATGGCAACAGCTCTCTCTTATGTACACCAGCAGAGACCAATCTAAACCCAAACAAATCCCCCTCAAACACTAACAGGCTATTGTCATACCCCAAATTTGTCCTACTTCGGTTTAAATGGGTGTTTGACTGTTTCACGATTTCTGGCCATGATTCTCTAAGACTTCGTTTATAAAGACTTTATATGTACTCATTGTGGTGATAATCCCTGGCAACTTATGTTGAATTCTTGTGGGAGGAGCGCGCCTCCAGTCCCTTGTGCCCAAGTTCATGTGTGTCCTCGTTCTCGCGATCAGACAGACATGATATGGTCAATAAGCATAAAATACATGATGGCAAGCGTCAAATTATGTTTGGATTCTAAAATCAGTTTGCGACAAACTTAGATTTAGCTTGCCAACTCCAAAACATAATTGAATCAGAAAATCAGTTTGTGACAAACTTAAATTTGATTTGCAAATTTCAGGTCATAATTAAATTAGAATTTGGAGGCAATCAGTCCAGGAGATTCGATTCAGTTCAAAGGCTTACGATATAATATGTTTAAGGAATGGACCGCCCATATTATCAAATCCATTAGTTTCAAGGGGATTCCAAACCCTGTGGTTACTTGTTCTTAAGACGTGATTCAAGATAAGTGATCTTTTAGGTTGTGCTTTGCTGGCCAGACTAATAGATAATTTTTTCGAAGGGGTACATGTCATAACCAACACATGAATAAGTAGAAGTTTTGGGCTATTATTAGAAGTTTAAGCTATAAGTTACAAGG